TGCAATAATGGTCATTTGCAGGTTGTTGCCCCAGTTGTAACCAAAGTGGCTTCCCCTGTCACTTATGCTGCTGCTCCAGCTGCATACGCCGCTCCGGCTTACAGCTATGCTTCCCCAGCTGCCGTTACCTACGCTGCCCCCGCTCCAGTTGTAGCCAAATACGCAGCTGCCCCAGCCTACACCTACGCTGCTCCCTCTCCAGTTGTGACCAAATACCTGTCTGCCCCAGCTTCTATTTCTTATGCTGCTCCAGTACCAGTTGTAGCTAAATACGCTGCTGCCCCAGCTTACACCTTCGCAGCTTCTTCTTACCATCACTGAGAAAACTAAGTTATCCCAGTGTATGAAAGTAGCAAAATTTATTTATTACGAAAGTCTGAATAAAACAACGATTTACGATTAGATAATGGGTATTTTTCTTGATTCAGTACTATTGTGCAACTCTTTTATAGAGGAAGATAATTATCATTTTTTAAGCCGCATCTATTCAAAGTTGCGGAACCCATATTTTAGTCGAGAGGTACATTCTTCTGACTAAGTATTGAATCGAAGAAAAGTTTTTAAAATTAGACAACATCCGGGCCTCAACAATCACAGGTCAAATACAATCATAACATAAAGCACAGGTCAAAGTCACACAGTTGAAATTATAATTTATAAAAGGAGCACATGCAGAAATAAACTCCTAGCAAGAACCGAGCCAGGTAGAGCAGTATTCACTAAACTGAAGAAGCTGCTAACCGCCAGGAATCTATGAATGGCGCTAAGAACAAAAATGGTTCTCTGCTATGTGTTTCCAGTTTTACTGTATCAGCTGGAGGTCTTTGAAGGGTGGGCTTAGTTAATCTATGGTGGGCATACAGCCTTTATTCAGGATCTCTTAAATRAATTKCAAACGAGCAAGATTTGAAAGGTTGTATTCTTTGGAAACATCATYGAAATTYACCCAGCAAACACAAATGGTCCGTGGGACGTTCTATTTTAATCCCCGTTATGCCACTTGGGGTGATCCTTAAGCCGTCCCTCGTATCGCACAAATATCTCATGCAGATCCCATGTGAGTCGTTAATCACGGCCTTTCTAAAAGAATATTCAGAATCTGAGTTTAAATATGACTAATATAATGAATAGCGACCAAATCAAGTTGTCAGGTATTGGCTTCCCCAGTGTTATTAACGTAATTGCAACAAGGAACTGCCGAAACCCCAATAAAGAGAACTGGATACTCGAAGCATCGCCTGGTATTGCAAAA